GCAAAGACTTCAACAGCTTTAGGCGTATAGGTTTCAACGAAAGTTCATAAATCACTCGATAATCATGAAACAGGACGTCTAACAATTTCTATCTCTAGCTTTGAAAAGTCAAAGTTACTTATTCATTTCAACTCACACGGCATTTGATCAGCAAGGCTCTACTTTGTACATGACTAGAGAGAAATAAAGAAATAAAAACTCGACCTTACTTATCAGCAATTTTATAGATGTATTTCTTATTTTTTAATTTGACATATTTGTTATCATTTAAAAGTTATTTTTAGTAGATACCCATATTTGAATAAATGCAGTTTTTTTTTGGGGGGGGGGTTAAACAGTATATTTTAATATCGTTTACCGACCTGAATGTTTGAGAAATCTTATTAAAGAAAAATATGTCGGTAGGCGAATATTTTACTTTAATAAAATTCTCCTTGTTTCACGCATGTCTGTTCAGTCGCTATAGCCAACAGCAACAGCCATCTCGTCTGCCAACACATATTACAATCCTGAATGCCGCTTCCTACAGCGAGGATACTGTCAATTTTAAAATTATGAAGAATCACGTGTTTAACTCTGCAATATTTATCGTATACTGTCTATCTTGCATTTTTAGTCAACGTTTTGGCCAGTGTTCTCTTTGACCTTATTCAAGTCTGTCGTAGTGGCGTGGGTTAACTCCAGTTGATTTGTCAAGACTTCCTAAGTGGCACTGTTTAGGGAGCAATAAAAACGGGATTCTTTCTGTTTTTTTCCTCTTTTTATCCATACCTTATACTATGTGCTAAAGGCAACACCAGCACGGGTCTTGTTCCCGGCTTGTGGATATCTGTTTTAACTATAATAATAGGTAAATTTGAATGTCTTTCTTTAGCTGTTTTTGTATGCATACAAGTATATTTTATTTCTTTATTATCCATATATAAAACTTGAAAATATCGCCTTGTTGAAAAATATTCCATTTCTCTTCACGTTGACAATTAATGCCGACCCGTCGTTTACATGCGGAAATTTTGTTTGCCACTACTTTGAGTTCAACTAAGAGGAGATACGCATAAAGATGGTGCCTTGCAGACGCGATCAAATATGCGCTTACTGCAACAATAACCTTCATGTTTGTGGAACATTCTCCTGGCTTTTTTTTTTTTAGCAAGCTGTCACAAAATCACAGAGCTGTAAGTCCAAATAGCCTCAAATTCACTCTTCCAGCTCGTCGGCTTTCTCTCCCGTCTTGTTCACTGTGACCGATTTTATATGCACAAATCCATAGCCAGCACATCCGGGTTATTCCCTCTATCGTATTCTGAAATGTGTTTGCTTCTCCCCGTTTTTTTTTATTTGTATCCTGGCGCTAGTGGCATCGGGTAGGTGCACGCCCTCGGCCATTTTGAAGATAAATGGATTTTTTCTGCATATTCTAGCTTTCCAGTTAAGTCTGATCTTCAAAACTTTAAATGCAATGTCCATCGTTATCTTCTGTGTTCTTATATTGTTCTCTCTATATAATAATACTTTTTCACATGTTCTCCCACACTCAGTAACCTCCCACCCCTAGCGCCTTAGATACTTTACGGTTTAATGGGCTTTTTTAAATCGAGCCCATTATACCATCCACAAAAGTAAATTCTACTCTCAGAAACTTTCAACTACGATAGACACGTGAAGAAGACCGGAGATTATATCAGCCAAAAATTTTGTCACTCTTTTTTAGGGTAAAATAATGCAGACAACAGCAATACTTACAGAGTCTTCCGGTTCATCTTGCCAAATTTCATGTTTTCCGATTTTTCCCATCTCGCAGAGAATCTGTAGATAATGAATAAAGCAAATAAAATAAAATCATCAAAATTCATATTAGAATTGCCTAAAGTCTTTATACAAACAGAGATAATTTTTCATATTACGTTTCTCACCGACTGGGTAGGGACAAAAAAACGCCGCTAGTATTGTTCTCTACTTCAACGATAATTTGACATCAATGGAAGACCAAATTGAGTACTAATTTCAGATAAATTATCGTTTGTTTGCACAGCTGTGCGTTATAAATTCGTGATTTTTTATTACTAAAAGTTAATATTTTAAGAGTACATATTTATATAAGAAACAACAGTTGTTTCTAAGAATGAGCGTCACTGTTAGAATAGCTCAAGGTTAAGTTTTGATGCAAAAATGTGGTAACGTTTTTAATTTAGAGTATTACAAATGACTTACCTCCCTTGCCGCTCGCTCTCCTGCTTGTATCGCACCTTCCATATAACCGGCCCACTGAGTAGCTGTTTCTGTTCCAGCAAAGAAACATCTATTTACAGGTTTTCTTAATTCTCTGTAAGTAGAAATGAGTCTCATGCATTATTCAAGCTTTATTCTTCCATATGTGTGGGAACAGAAACTTTGAAACCGACCGAACCCTGAATTTTCATCTATGTTCTCTCAGGGTAACCGCCGATTGAGATAAAACTTAACCCAAACCTCAAGTAGAACTCGTACATACGATCCCTCGCTAAAGATACTGGAAAAATGATCGGTTCACTGTACCGCTCCAGTATGTACCTGACTCCTCTTGATATTCTTTTAAAAATTTTAGATCAGATCGAAAATAGAGTTGCCATATATAGATGCCCAGTCTTCGATAATCCAAAAGCTACTCTGCGTCCTTGTGGGTGATGAACTATTTTCAATCCAACAACCCATTTCCTACAGACGAAACTTCACAAGCCTTTTACTATTCTATCGCCATTTGTATAGAAAGTGCTCAGACGAACTACATTCCTTAGTTTCACCAGTTCTAACCTTCACATCTAAAACCCGCCATGCCAGGCACATTGCAGCGAACGACCTTCATTTCCTTCGTATTACATTGGTGAGATGTAAGTTCCACTCGAACTGCTTATCTCGACGAACCGCTTGTGCAACCGACTCCCAAGAGGATGCTTCCCCGATCACTACAATCTTAACTTGTTCAAGTCTAAGTTTAACTGTTATCTTCCCCACACATCTCCATAAACTGTACCTCTTACTCTGTAACCCTCTACCTCGAGTGACTCTTGTGCCTTGTACAGGGTGAACATCATTGTAAAAAAAGTGATTAAATTAGCACTATTCCAAAAAATAGTTTAAATGCAAACCCGACGTTGTATCATTAATACACATTGATTTGAATAATTTTAGATACGAATGGGCTACACAAAGACAAAATGTGTTATATGACCACCTACTTTAATATAATGTAAAAAAATACATTCAGTCTTTTTTGTTCACTAACTATAATTCTAGTGTTTGAAGCTTAAAGTAAATAGAATTTAAATGACATTGTAATAGATTGGTTATAAACAGGAATTAAGAGGTTTATATGTATACAGATAAGAGACTTAATATATGGCAGATATTGTCGTATATACTCGACAATAGAGAGAGCTTTTATGATTAGTTTTTACGCAAAGAATAGGTGGTCGCACTGTACGTTTAAGTAATTTTTGTGAAGAGGCAAAAATCATGCATTTTATATGACCGGTTGCATTACATACAGGTAAATTTTTACTGTATCTCAATCTTAGTATCAGATATTTTACTGTAAGTAGTTTTTACATCATTTTGGTGTAGCTTTGTTTAAAAAGAATGACAACTATTTATTTACTATAAAATATGTCCAGGACGGTGCCCAGTATTGCAATATATGGCACTTCAAAATGCAATACTTGAAGTTATAAGTTTGTCGCAAACTGTGGGAGCCCCAATTCTTTAACTCAAACGTAAGTGTTCACGTCGACATCTATATGACAAAAACATATGACAAAAACAAACCTTAATTTTGTCCGGCTCCGCGCACCCACTTTCGGAATACCACACCAATCACGAAAAGGTAAACGCGGTTTTCGTAGCAGCTGTTTCTGAGTCATTGATTATCTATAGAGCCAGCACCGATTCCAAATTCGAAGGCAGATCCGACCCGACTGGCATTAGCGACGAACCCCCACAGCCGGCAAGCTTAACTGAACGCGACTGACTCCACGATTGCCCAGGTTATCAGCAGCGACACCAAGGTGCTTCCATCAATACTAATGCGATAATTCATAGAATATTTCTCCCACGAGTCTGTCTCATTTAACTATATATGCGCGTTGATTTTCTCAGTGTAAACCTCGACTATTGCCTTGTGTAATACTTCGAACGAATGCTCAGTCTCTGATAACTGATATACGATACCTGCGGGACGGGCAAACGCTCAAACCTTGTAAGTCACGGGAAATTCACGTATTTCACATATCTCACCCACGTCTTATATCCATTTGTTGTTTTATCATTTCCATTTTCCTTAACAGTAAGACTGTTGTTACAAGTTGAAATAGCTTCAATACACTTTAATATGTATAATAGGCATATTCTGTCAGTATGCTCGCATTAATATACGAGCGTTTTAACGTGTTTATAATTTAAGACAAACATCTCAAACTATATTGTGAATGAATATAATAACATCTTCTAATGCGTGATCCGTACCACATGTCACCTTATTAGAATGAAAATTATAAATATTTCTACTCAAATTACTATTTCTCCCATTTTTCGTGACATAATGTTTCTGCATTCATACATGTTGTTTTTACTGAAGACTGTGTTCTTCAAGGGAGACAAATCTTTCTAGGATATTGTATACTGTGGTAATCAATTAATTTTTCCTCATTTAGGAAAATCTTAATACAGAAAATGAATGAAGTGGAGAAATAGCGGCGAAATCAATTGTCAACTAAAGCAAATAAATGAAAATAAAACAAAAACCTTGCTTTGGGTCCGAATGCAGTCAATGTTAAAAGCGTGTTTGTTTTTCCTTTACAGCCAAAACTTTGATCAGTACATTATTAGAATGTGATTTAATAAATTCCACACATAATATTGCAGGTTACATAAACAGTCTAAACGTGGTTTATTGTGACTGCAAGTGTGCATGTTAAGTAATGCCGGATTTTAAAAATAAAATTGGAAAATAAAACCTAAAAGTTGCCTTACTCTCCAAACACAGTGAGGAATCCGGGGGGCAACATGGCTGTATAGCAACCACCACTGTATTTCTCCTCTGCCCAGTTTTTCTCTTCATAGTGAATCGGCTGAAGAAAAAGAATGACGGATATTAATTTGTAAGAGGTGACAAGAAATAAATTTCGTTTATTTTTAAGGAAAATCCATACTTACACTGGTAATATTTGATGTAATAGTATTTGAATTTATTAGAACATTGTCCGTTTTCTTTGGCTAGTGTTTCTTAATTTCAGTTGCTTTTTATCGCGCCTTCTTAAGTCGCTATTCTTTGATCGTTAGCCAACATCGCCGATCTTCTAAGAGATGCAAGTGCGATTGAAAAATAAAATTATTGCAATAAAACGCTCTAAATATGAACAGTTATGACTGTAATTAAGCATTTGAATGGGAATCGGATTTCAGCATCAAATAAGCCATAAGGAATTGATATTTATTTGCGATTAGAATTCTGCCAAGAGAAAGCGATAAAAAGCCGCAGAAATTAAAATGAAAGAAATAAGAAAAATGTACTTTAAATTACTCAAGATTTTAATTTTGCCGGTAACACGATAAATCTTTAGCAAAAACAGCATTTTTTTCCTCTTAATAAAAATATTTTTACCGACTCGTTTTTTGTACAATCATCACACGCAAATACCAATAACTGTTTGTTCCCTTTCAAACTTTTATATATATATATATATATATATATATATATATATATATATATATATATATATATATATATATATATATATATATATATATATATATATATATATATATAATGGGGGGCGAGTGGTTAGAACGTTCACATTCTGACAATGAGACCCAGGTTCGAATATAACCATAGTCGATTTGTTGGGAAGGAGACTGGAGGGGATTTTTGCCTGAAAACCATACCACGGGTTGAACTAAGCCTTGTAAGTGAAACTGGGTAGACGGAACCCTTGGGTGCCGTCGATAGCAATGCCTGCACGAAGTCGCAAGTCATCGTGTTTAAATTGTTGCTCACGCTAGATAACACGTTCTTTCCCAGAAACTGTAACTAAGGTCTGCTAAGCATAGTTGCAGTATAAGCCACATGTGGGCTCTGTGGGTGTTGAATAAACACAAAATGCGACTGAGCAAGCGTCTGTAATAGGGATTGGCTTGCCATCCTTGTAGACAGGTCAGGTATCCTCGAATACATATATATTAAAGACATTTTTTTTATTATGTTTAACTAGACAGGTCAGGTATCCTCGAATACATATATATTAAAGACATTTTTTTTTATTATGTTTAACGTTGTTATTTTATAGATACAAGTATTTAAGCAAATGCTCTGTTTATGATAAACAGTATTAAATAACATTTACCGGCCTGAATGTCCGAGAAATTTTCATAGAAAATATTCGTTCTTTGACAGGATTCGAACCTGCATCCTATACGGAACCGTCATATACGCTGACGTGCCTTAACCTTACGGTAGACAAGGTCGAATTTAATGTTTATAAACTTCAATCTTCCATGAATCTCGTACATTCATAACTGTCTTTGTGGCCGAGACGGTTAAGGCACGTCAGCGTATATGACGGTTCCGTATAGGATGCAGGTTCGAATCCTGTCAAAGAACGAATATTTTCTATGAAAATTTCTCGGACATTCAGGCCGGTAAATGTTATTTAATACTGTTTATCATAAACAGAGCATTTGCTTAAATACTTGTATCTATAAAATAACAACCTTAAACATAATAAAAAAAAAAATGTCTTTAATAAATAAATTGTCGGAGCTTGTCCATTTCTTAACATATATGTATATATATTGCATACAAAATATTTAGATTTTGACATTAAAATAACCCACAGGGGTCGATATGCCGCTAGACAAAGACAACGAATCTTTTATATATGATGTTAATTACTTACGTGGGCGAGTTGTTCACACTGAAACACTTTCGCATACAACTTGGCTATTCTGTCTCTTCGCTGTTCGCGGGTCAATTTGATATAATGATGTGCGTTGGTCGCCAGAATAAAACTGAAAGTTAAATTGAATCTTTTCAATACTGACAGAATTGTTTAGAATCTTACAAATACAAAACCTATATACGTCTACGTATAAGTACTTAGTAATTGCCATCTTGAAGCAGCCATTATCTTTGACAGGGTGGACTATCATTTGAATCTGACCTGTTTAATACAGTTGCCATATTTAATGTTTGGGCGATATTTTTTTTTTCTTTAAATGTTTGGAATATCGACTTTAACTCAACTGTTAACCACAAAAACTAACCATATTTCAATTAAAATGGTGAGAGTAAAGCCCACTTTTAATCCATCTCCATATTATGCGGATATGTTAAAAACAACATCAAGTATCTAAGTATGTCAGTAGAATGCGAATATATCGCCATTATGACTCTCATGGATTAAAAATAGATACTGGAAGTAACTTATTACAGTAAGTAACAACAGTTTTGACAATTGTGTTATCATTAAAGCTTACTGATTGGTAAGATTCAGGCTACAGAAATCTTTTAGTATTTTCGCTCGTATAAACATAACGATGTAAAAAAAAAATCAGCAATAATTACACATTTGTTTTTTGTACTTCTTGTCGATGTAGAGAGTCATCATGCATTGACCTTCCAGTCAGTTATTTTTACAGTACCATTTCCCTTTATTACTCAAAATCTTTTGCCGTATTTTTTCGCGATGTCACCGTCAACATAATATCCAACCTTAAAGAAATAGGTTTATACCAAATCATATAACACCTACAAACTATGTATCTAAGAAATCCACGTTTATTCTGAAAGTATAAAATTATATACAAAATATCTGTAAATAATAAAATTGCGTTCAAAATATATGTAGCAGAAGCCATAGAATTGCGTACAAAATATTTGGATTTCAGTATTACATAACCTATAGGAGTTGATATGCCACTAAACAGAATCAACCAAAACAAAACAAACAAAAATATCTATAGTTGAAGTTGCCGAAATCTAAATATTTTAAACGCATTTTTATATGCGTTTAAAATATTTAGATTTCGGCATTAAATAACCCAAAAAGGTGTTGATATGCCACTGAACAAAAACAACCAAATCAAACCAAATTTGCGCGATGTCTCAATTATTTTTACTGAAGAAATTTAAGTGGTATAAAATATTTTTATTCATTTCAAATTTTATTATCTTGTTGGAATTTACATATTTTGAAAACATGACTCATCGCTTTTTTCAGCCTATCATGAGCAATAACTTGAGCCCCACCCTCTCGATGTTTTTGGCGGCTTGCCCACGTAACTCATCCTTGTTAATGACATCGTGACTCGACCAATCAACACGCAGCCTTTCTTGGTATACTCTGGTTAAAGGAATTACCACAATCCAAGAATTTTCTTCAAGGGTGTCGTCACAAGGACCCTGTGATACCTTCTTAAGGAATCGAAAAAAACTTACTAGAGTAGTCGAAAGTTTCTACCTTCAGGAGACATTGTCGCTCACGGCCTAAATTTCTGGACTTACGGCAAAAAGAATATTCCAGATTCGAGCCCAAATTATTACCAGTGATTCCAGAGACAACAAATTCACAGCCGTATCCAGCTACTTAATATGAAGGCTAAAAAAAACCCTTGATTCGAATACAACAGCAATACGGAAAGATCACTTTCAAAGTGAAGTATTATTTCTCTTACTATTCCACTTTCTATCTTTTGATCTTTTCAGCTATTTACCCGTAACATGTTTCTTACGATTAACTTTTTATGATTCACAATCCATGTCTCCTGTGTCGCGTGCATTATTTTTGTTATTACGCCTCATCACGATTTTCTGTTGCAGGATTTATTTTTTCAGTATTTGGGCAATTGTGGAAATGTAACATCGAAAGGATCCAGCATCAAAACGTTTTGTTTCCCCTGTCGACAGGTTACAAGAATATGCCGATTGCATCCCCTTCAGAGGGACAACCCTTATACTCTAAAAGAGCTACATCTGACTAGACGTTTGTGGATTCGGACAAAGACGACAATGTTTTTCAAGTATCATATAATTCTGATTCTTCCTTAACACGTTTTTGCTCTGGCAGTACCTCATAAATGATCGGCTAAACCGTTTTGATAGCGAGGAAAAGCAGATGAAAAACGCTATTTAGTTTCAATGAGATAAAGAACTCCTGTTTCTTACGTCTGCTTCAAGTAAAATGGAAACACTTTTTCAGAATGAATTTTTTTCATTTGTATCCTCTTTAAATAATGATATGCATTCATATTTATGATTATTTTTATGATTGTCAACGAACACATATGTAATGTCAACGAATACTCGTTGTCACTTTTGTAATGCTCGATGTAGTAATCGCAGATACAACTATGGTAACACCGTTGAACAATACTGGTGTCAGACGCCTTCGAATAGCACTCGCACTAATAGTACTTGCTCGATAATACTCACTCGAAAAGTAACCAATATAGAGAAGAGATTCGCGAACTGTATCGTAATAGAAGATAAACTAGAAATGGTGATCCGTATAGTAATAGAGGATAGAATAGAGAGTGTGATCAATTAGACGTCACGCTACTTTCTATTTATGCGGTTTCTCTATGGTCACGTGATCTACTTAATTCAATAATGGGATCGCCTGTGGTTTTTTTTCTCCCTTCTAATATTTCTCGTCGGTTCATTGTTTTACATAGACGCATGTGTTAACTCCCCACCCCGAAATGAAGCTCTCACAACGAAGACACAGTTCATCGTCCTAAAAGAGATTCGCAGAATTGTACATTTCAGGTATGGATATTTTATATACTGATATGAGGGTCGATATTACGTAACAGTTCAGTACTCTTTTTTTTGTTGCTAATGAAATTTTATTCTTTTAGTTCTGTTCTGTCATCTACTTGCTTAATCCCGCTAGGTATGTCATGTGTTGCTTTCCTTTGTCTCTCGTTTCATCTCTTCGACTTGTGAGTATCAGATTCTCCAAGCCCTCCTTTCTCATTACGTGTCCAAGAAATTTCAGCTGCCTGTTTGCATCCTCTCCAAAACCTCATCGTTGCTCACACGCTCAGTCGATAATATTCTTAGCATCCTTTTGTAGAACCATACCTCCGTTGCCTTGAACCTCTTCGTCTTTGAGGAGACCGTCTAACATTCGCTGCCGTACAGAGCAAATAACCTTAAGGAACTTTTCAAAAATACCGAACCAACTGAAAGTTTGCAGTTTGTAAAGGAGACTCTCCTTTATAAGGATTACATTAGGAAAAGTCTTATAATCTATTTTAATGGAACACTTTATTATAGTTCATTTTTATGCAAGTTGTATCGGGAAAAACTATTGTTTTACATTTTATATTTATCTCCAAAAGTGTTAATACAATATTCATCCGAAAAAGAATTATAGAATTCACAAATATTTTTGGGTTTTAAATAACCTACTAATGGTTGATATCGTCCTGGATATGACGATAAACTACATCCGCGTCCTGGGTAAGACGATAAACTACGTCCAGGAGCAAGACCTCTGATCAGGAGGTTTTGAAGAGCGTGGAACCACCTCTTAATTGCTGGTGTTTCCAGATCCACCCTGACCCGAGGTGGTAGAACCTTTTAGGGTCCCAACTATAGGTAAATAGTTACCCCCCCCCAAAAAAAAAAACTGGGGTCAAAACACAATCAAAGTGTAAAAAAAATGTTTTAATACCAGAAATACTTTGTAAAAAAAAAACATATGACCAGCTATACATTTTTTAAGAAAATATTATCAGAAATAGATTTTTGAAAAAAAAATATTACCAGAAATAGATTTTTTTGAAAGAGAAGATATTACCAGAACAGATTTTTGAAAAAAAAATATTACCAACAATAAAAATTTTGTCGGCATTAAATAATTCATTGAGGTTGATATGCCGTAAAACAAAACAAACCAAACCAAACAAATGGTTCATACGCCGTAAAACAATCAAATGCTTTCTACTGTCAAATCCAGACTGTGATAACGACAAAAGGATATGTGAAGAGATAATCGATGTAATAAGTAATTACAAAATTCGAAAGTAAATTCAGCCCCTTGACTAGACCTTGATCTGATCGACGTTGTGAAAATTGTTATAGTTTCGCGAATGAAAACTCAGAAGGGATTTTAATATCTGTCGAGACGGTCAAAGGTATTTCCCCTCCAAAATGACAGCTTTTTTAAACAATTTATTTTTTTAAGTAATGACTTAAAAAAAAGAATTAATCAGAAATCACAAAATTACATTTCAAGGTACTAAGCGTCGGCTTAGCTTTAGGGATCGCCTCTTTCTTGCTTACAAATGATACAAGTTTAGCGACGACTGATGAATAGTAAATAGATGGCTCATTCATGTGTGGTTGAAAAATGCAGTCAAAGCTGAAATTAAATCTCATGTCTTTCTTTTGCAGCAGTAAAATATCTGTTTGTATTTTGCATTGGTTTCGTGTCTCCAGCTCAGCTGTTACACTCTTATTAAAAAATATATATGCAGAATGCCCCTTAAAAATACCAGCAACGTAATTATGTAATTTTTCATACTTATAATTTTCATATCAAAATTAAGACCATTTGAAATATATTATTTTTTTGTGGCGTGTAATATCTGTTGATAAAAACGTAACATTAAACAAAGTATTCAAATACAGTGGAACTTCGGTTCACGAATTTAATTCGTTCCTAAAGCCCGTTCGTAACCCGAAATGTTCGTAAACTGAAACCATTTTTCCAATAGAAATCAATGTAAAATGGTTTATTCTGTTCATGGTCCCAAGATGGTTGTTTATTTAAACTTTAACAAGAGTATTTTGTGCACAAGTTTATACACAAAACTAATGAAAATCATTAAATCTAAGAAAAAATAAATAAACCCAATACTAAATAGATAAAATATAGACAAACACTTCAATTTTACCGTACCTGCATGTAGGAGAGTTTATGGCGTAAGTGGAAGGGGAAAGAAAGAGATGTTATTTTTTGGAAAGAGGGAAGGAAAGACATTATCGTTTCTTTATTTATAAGAATAGTATAGATCGTTGATTTTGCCATATGAAACTGAGTAGGAAGAGACAATATCATCAACAATTGTTTTTCTCTTAAGTTTTCTTTTTCCTTTACCAGTATCACTGATAACTTTCTTTGGGGACATGACTGAGGACTAATGAAGAGGAACAAAGCACAATGCAATAAGATTGGAAAAGAAAAGCACAGTTTAGCGTTCCACTTCAGTTTTAAATTTCTTCTCAACAAATCATTGGTTAAAAATAATGCATTGTAATTACTATATGTCTTCTTATAAAAGTGAAAAATTTTGTGCAAAAAGTGGATCACACAGACCTTGCTATTTTTGTGATTGCTGATTGGCTAAATAATAATAAATATGAAAGACGCCTATGCAATCAGGTTTTGCCGCCAATGTTTTTGAACGGCAGTTTGGAGCTAGTCACGTGACACAGAACCAAATAAATAGGGAGCACGAACGTATCTCATCAGTGAGACGTTTTAAAAGTTAACACGACACATCGCTAAAGAAATTTAACATGGATCTTCCAGTTTTTTCCAATCTTTCACTAGCAAGAAATTACTTTTTTTTTTTTTTAGTCTTCTGAAGCTACAAGTTTACATAATTTCAGTTTTTCAGTACATAATTCAAGAAACTTTCTCACTCGGTTCTATTCAATGGAATTTACTCTTTGGTGAACATTTTCTTTTACCGGAAAGATTTACCGTATTTATTTTCAGAAGTACACAAACTAAATTTCATTTAGTACAAAGCAGAAACTTCTTGAAATATCAAGTAATAATATAAGTTCCTCTTTTACCAAACAGTCACATTCTCACAATATTCACATTACCCAAAAACATTCAACTAATTCACAAAGAACATTTCTTCTAAAAACAAACTTTTTTCATTGTGAGACCAGATAAAAAAATTCTCCCTTTCAAAGAAAAGTTTTCAAATAATTAAAATCAGAGGTAAACAACTCGTATTTTGGCATTGTGAATTCTGTACCAAAAACACTATTTTGAAGGAAAATTATAAAGCATTTTAATTTGCTCAATTAACATTACTGAACTTTGAAATTCAGATTAGCTCAGCTAAATATTCAGTTATGTGCCATGCGTGATACACGCTTAGGCGATCATGTATCTTTCAATACATGACTGACGAGGTAGATTTTTTCCCGCGGTAGGTTGCTATTTCTTTCTGCGGTAAACCAGTTGCTATGTCTGCCCTGCTATTTACTCATAGTTAAGAGGAGAAGAGGATTTATACCTTTCCCAAGGTTATTAGCACGTAAGTGAATGCAATGGATTCGACTGGAATTCGAACTCAATTCCTCAATCCGAGCCGCTGTCCATTACTCCAGCTGAGTTCTGAGCAGTTTATTCTTGATAATTTGTATTATTCATATGTAAATATGTTGTTGTTGTTTTACATTATTGTTGTCAGCTTTTGTTAGCCTTGTGCCATACATCTAAAGTTAAATGTTTGTGGAGGAATTAAATTGTATACACGAAACCGTCTTCATATAACCAAATAGCTTTCTGATCTATTCTCAAACTTATTAACCTTTACCTTCGCAACAACACAACACGGCGGTTGACTAAGAAATGATTCCGTTCGGGTTAATTCGGTTCGTCAATGTTGTTCGAGAACCGAGGCATTTTCATCTCGAATATTCTGTTCGAAAACCATAATTAAAAACGGTTATTGTACGTATGAAAGAAAATTTACGCTAAGTGTATGGTCATCAATACTATTTTTCAAAAATGTTTTAAGAATGGTCTGAAATGTTTCTAAAATGTTTAGGATAAGAGTTTAAGGCATATGTGGTTTTAACAATCAAAATAGGTACTTAGAATCCGCGAATACTTGTAACCGCCCCCCCCCCCACACACACACACACAAAAAAAAAAAAAGTGCTTACAAGTATTCGCGACCGGTTCTGGTCCCTAACCCCCGCGAATACGGGGGACTCACTGTATATGTTTGTAAATAAGAAAAATTATTTAACATACATACCCATATTTTCTTTATTTTTTTTATTATTGTTTCGATTTCAGACGTTCGGATATTTAATATAAAAAAACCTGAGCGACTGAATTTCCTACAACACGATTAAAACATGATACTGATTAGGCAAGAAGCCCATTAAGTTTTCTACGACGCAAACTGATTTTAGTTTTGACCGTCTGTCAGAAAAGGTAGAAAAATCACCTCGTTCATTTAATTAGCATTTCCCTCATTAACATAAAAACAGCATTAGTTGAAAAAGCGATATGAAGGAAAAGTAGAAATAGTTACAGGCGTATGCCGTGGCCAAAACGTCCAGTGGACTGATCAGATGACAAGCGCTTTTCTTTGGCCAGTGTCACGAATGCAGACTGTTAGTAAGTTCGTTTTGATTATTATTTCTTAATTACTTTCCATATATCTGAATTAATTTCAGTTTAAACTTCCAGCAAAATTACGCAACAAAAACATAGACTTTTTGGTTCATACATACATACATACATACATACATATATATATATGTTGAAAATCCAACGACAATGTCTCTAATATGCCAACATAAAATTCATACTAAGTGAGGTAAATTAAGAATACAACTAATACTAAAGTTTATTTTGTACAGAGGTAAATGTGATAAATATAGTACAAATGTACATCTACTCTTACTTATATACAGCGTGAGTCAAAATTGTTAACACTAGCATAAGAGGAATCATTTATTCAGAGTTTACTGAACATTCTCCACTTCTCCATCAGCATGATTGTTGCACAAAAACCAGCGATCAACAGTACAATTTAGTGCCTTGACACACATTTCACGAGAAATGTTTGATATTACACCTTTTATTCTGTCCAATACGTTTTTGAAAAAATAATGCCAGCAATACATTTTTGAGGAAAAAAATATTACCAGCAATACATTTTTGAAGGAAAAAATTGTTATCAGAAATAGATTTTTGACAAAACAAAATATTTCCAGCAATAAAAACATTGTCGGATTTAAATAATCCATTGAGGTTGATATGCCGTAAAACACAACAAACCAAACCTACTAGTGTTAACATAATTTTGACTCACCCTGTATATAAAAGAAAAAACAGTTGGATTAATCCCGAAACCGGACATGTTTCTTATTTATAGCGTGGGAATGTTCAGTTTTCAAGCCATTTTGTTTTTTGAATTTCGGATAAGTTTTTGGTTTGTTTTAGTTTACGCCTTATCAACTTTTTGCTGGCCATAAAATATTTTTAGATTGTAAGACGTTTTGGAGATAATAATGATACAAGTTATGTGTGTGTTTCTATAGATTGCACAAAAGCATTCGGAAAAGTACAACTCCATGGATTTTTAGGAAAGCTTGATCTACATATAAAGGATATGTGAATAATCCGTTGTCTGCATTGGGAATTAACGGCTTATATGCAAGTAAACGGCGAATTGAACATATCAAACAGAAAAAGGAGTACGACAATAAAATGATGTGTTTTCTCGCCGGATTTATTTAACTTTTAAAATGAGATGATTCTAAAAGAACTATATGGCCAACCAGGATTTATTATCGGCAGACTAATCTTAAGGAAAACTGAATGAATTTTTAGATAAAATAGACGATAACAGTATGAATTGATTCATTGATTTGTTTTTTACGGCTTATCAACCTTTTACAAGTTATTTAAAGCCAGAAAATATTTTTAGACTGTAAGAAATTTTTGGAGATAATAATGATTTACTGATACAAGTCTTACTAATTAACCCATAGCTGGGGGAGAAGTGGTGGGTTCATACCTTTCCCAACAGTATTTGCGCATAAGTGAATATAACGAACCCAACTGGAATTGGAACTTGGCTCTCCGATTAACAATACCGAGCCATTATCAATTACACTACTCGCACATCCAAGGTTACAAGTGTACCAATTCTGGTATATAATGTTTAAATTTTTACTACTTTTGTAACTAACGCACTGGTATAAAAAAAATTCTTAAATCTCTTAATGGTGTGTAGACTTTCTTGAAGTTATTGACACCACGGTTAGGTGAGAGCGTAGTTGTACTTACCCCATTAAAGCTGGGTGCGATCCGTCTGGTTTTACGTCGTCTAATGTGAACCCTATTATGGAACCTTCTTCCATTATTGCAGATGAGCCACACATACCTTTTCAGGAGAAGAAATAAAAGTATATACAAAGATTATAACAATGCTTCCAGAAGTAATAGGAACATAAAAACAGTTGACACTCATAATGGCAGCAATTAAAAGAAAATGATTGCAATGACACGCTGGAAATGTGAATAACCGGCTAACTGCTGTATTCTGGTACACGTCTTGGTCTACCAACTGGCGTGTCTACATTGTGAGAATTTCTTCTCACACAGTTCAACCCTTGGCAGAGACAAGAAAGACATCCAATCAACAAGGCCTACCTTAAAACTTAAAACAAATTTTATTGTATCCTTGCAAAAAAAAGATTTTGCCCTTTTTTGCCCCTAGGAACATGGTGGGGTAGTTCTTCAATGAATAGGTAGTCTTTTACTTCAGTAGGACTCAATTGGTCTCTACGAAGTTGGAGAAGCTGGAATTTGCTGGTCGTTGCTGGAGCATTACCATTTCGGTTGCTGAAGTTGAAACTCGGCTATTGTCGAGATCATTCATAAAGTTCTTCGTGTAAACGTACACATTTGACGACAGTCAATAAATGACTGAATTATACAGCCTTGAAGGAATTAAGCTGGGACATGACGTCGTCTCTGAAGCATTACCATTTGGTTGCTGAAAGGAATCATAGCCCTATTATTTAGGCTTGATCCTGGGCGCTAAAGACCCTGCAAGGAGAATCAAAAATGAGTCCGGACATTTCCAATAATATGCCGCAACTAAGTCAAAAGGGCACGGGCCGTTGAAAAAAGCTCGCCAAAAAAAACAGTCAAAATTCGACCAATGAAATTGGTCGTTACAAATCAGCCAATAGGAGCTTAAATTGCAGAATTTCTTACAACTTACATTCATATCTTGGTCAGCCTATGAACTTACCAGCCAACCCTCGTAAGTGAATTCAGTTTCGTCATTAAATAATCCATATGTCTTTAAGCAAGCTAAACGGAACAATATTTATATTATTTACATTTTTCGGACTGTTGTCCTCAAATGTTAACCTGAAATGGGTTTACATATCTCGTAAACGACGCACAGAGAAACAAAATAAAAGTGACCGCTTTCGCATTGGAAATGCAATTCTCATTGATGAACGGCGGGGAAACAACAGACTGTGTGAAAAGAATATTGACCTTTGCCAATCCTTGTCACGATATTTGAAAGCGGTGGGTAGAGGAAATAGAACATATTCTCAGTGACCGACCCAAGAATGTGAATGCTATAAGTCAGCCCCATTTCAGCAAATAAATATGGGAAGAACGACTACACAAACGTCATCGAACCAATCTTTAGAAACGCCAACATGCAGATTGACTATTCAGGATTCGGTTCCAATTTTTTTTTTAATTATCACCTGGAGAAGGCTGGAGCATACAACGACTGAAACATTTTAAATGTGACAATAAAGATGAGGACAACAATACGAGCAATGTAAATGGTGTAAATAGTTACAATATCTCATCTCAGAAATATAGATAAATAAATGAGGCATGTATTAAAATTAGGAAATTTTGGAATGCTAGAATATATATATATATCCTGGAATTAGCCAGATTGTCAAGATTCCAAATGCTGTATGAATATAGTATAATAGTTATGATTAATGTTGAAACACATTAATATTCTGCAGATAATATTCATATTAAATTGCATAATTAAACAATAAATAATATTACAGTATATTTTAGAAAATCATAAATGGTGAGTAAACATTTACTAGCCTAATTATATTTCTAAGCTAGTAAATTTTATAATAAATTGTAATAAACCTGCAGTAAAACTTCAAATATAAACATACTAAAACTAAGCTGAACACACGTACACATAATTGCATACTCTTATGTAGCTCATACAAGGTTGCTCTTAATAATCAAGGGGGTCAGAATTTGAAGGGGTCTTAATAAAAGGGGGAGGTAGATAATCATTTTAATTCAATCAGCACGCGGTAATATCTTTTCCTTTTATTAATTTCTGGTAATCACTGACACCATTGGCTATTTTTAAAATAGTGAGGGGAAGAGTAGGCTTGTTGTCTAGCCTTGTGTCGGAAACCTACCACCCCTCTTGAAGATGAACTTGTCTGCGAACAAAGACTTTAAATAGTGGCATGTCAGTGGACATGGAAGACCGATAGACAGAGAAGTTCTTGGCTGAGCTAGTTATTGACTACTCAGGCGATTTCTGTACCTTTTTACCAACCTATTAAAACCCTTTTTATTGTTACGTGTTATTTGGCGTTTGTCTTTACTAACCCCAAATCAACATCATAACAAGCCTCTAGTTGCCCTCCCCTCCACATACACACTCCGCCCTGGGTATGACGATAAACTACATCCGCGTCCTGGGTAAAACGATAAGCTAGGTCCAATAGCAAGGCCTCTGATCAGGAGGTTTTGAGGAGCGTGGAACCACCTCTTAATTGCTGGTGTTCCCAAGTCCACCCTGACCCCGGGTGGTAGCACCTATTAGGGTCCCAGCTATGGACAAATAGTTAACCCCCAAACTGGGGTCAAAATACTATGAAAGTGTAAAAAAAGGTTTTAATATCAGAAATACTTTGTAAAATTTATTACCAGCAATAAATATTTGAAGAAAAAAATTATTCCCAGCAATACTTTTTTTAAAAAAAAAAAAAATTACAAGCGATACATTTCTAGAGACAAAATATTACCAGAAATAGATTTTTGAAGAAAAAAATTTCACCAGCAATACATTTGAAAAAAATATTACCAGCAATAAATATCTTGTCGGCATTAAGTAAACTATTGAGGTTGATATGCCGTAAAACAAAACAAATCAAACCACACACACACACACTTTTATAGACTATAATATAGGTACCTCCACTAAATCACGATACCTAAGGTATTGTTTTTGTTTTTTTTTTGGGGGGGGGGGTTGTGTGTGTTTTACAAAACATCATATCACCCATGTATACCAGCTCCATATTCCCAATCCAGAAGATGAAATGAGTCAAAGCTAAAAATCACCATTTGAAAAGGAAATTTCAGATCGCGAACGAGATTAAGGAGAATGAAGCAAAGCAGCTAATGGCGCTCCTTGGGGGTAAGTGAAGTTCCAAAAGAGTTACTTGGAAGTGAACTAAGACGCCTTTGCTCAATTTCGGTTACTTTTCCGTTAATATTAAATGGCTGGATTCTTTCTATCGTATATACATGTTATTTTTACTTTGTATTTATTATATTTACTTTGTATATATGACGTTCCAATATATGACGTTTGAAGTGAACAAAGGTGTCATGGCTCAAGCTTAGTTTCCTATTCCGTTAATATCAAATGGCTAGATCCGTTCTATCGTGCATACATGTTATTTTTACTTGTATTTGTCACATTTACTTTCTATATATAAAGTTGTAAAGGAGGGTACCCCGAGGTGGTGTAATGGTTAGCAAGCTTGTCTCGCTAGAACACTTACGACTGAGTAGTTACTTTGATTCTCACTGGGGGTTACCCTACTTTCGGCCTTGTGCCACATCTAAACTATGTTTGGAAAATCGATATAAAGTTCTAAAGGAGTTACTTTGAAATGAGTCGTCATTACTCAAGATCGGCTACTTTTCCGTTAATATCAAATGGCTGGATCTTTTCTATCATATATATGTTATTTTTTATCAGTTAATGGATATTTCTAATCTGATAATATTTCTTATTATTACTTACTCTAAAAGTTAAGTTTTCTCAAACACGAACACCCAATAGATATAGCATTGAAGTTAATGAGTTATGTGTGTTACCGTAAAAGAAGTTGTATGTAATGTAACCGGCACTATATTGAATAAGTTTTGTTTACTTTATTTTTAAATCTGCTCATTGAAACTCCTTGAATATTAACAATTTCCTTCAACAAATATTAACAAATGAGGACTTGACAATCAGCAGCTCTTCCATTGCAAGTAAAAAATATTTGAAAGCCCTTCTAACCTCTTTGGTATTCTACAACCTTATAAAAGTTTTAGATTTTCAAAAATTTTTAGAATTCCAGTGCTTCTAGTTGATCATATGACGGGTGTAAATGATGTGTATTAAAATACAATGCTACCCAGTCGCGGGTGCATTTTGTCACGGCCAGCCTCAAAGGGTTAATTGTTAACTGCTAATGAAATTTGTATCAGCTTAAACTGGTCTCAAATGATTGATATGGAAAACTGAAAATTTTGACTGTGACCGGTTAAGGGCAAAATGGAATCCACCTCTCTGATTGGCCAAAATACCAAAAAATGAAACAAATCTCAACTGGGATCGACTTTGAATAGGCACAAATAATATTATTACAATTCTTGCAATCGTACGGAAGCTATAACAGAATGCTAGTCAAAAAATGATCGCTTTCGGCTGAGTTCATGGAAAAGAAAGTCTGATATCATGTAGGCCCGAAACTTTCTATAACCCCAAAATAGACATCACTTAGGAAGTCTTCTGGTGCATAATATATGCGTATAAAACGATGTATTTACAAGATTTCGGATTTTATTTAACCATAAACTGTTAAACCAAATCAAACTAGATTGATACACTAGTGAAATATCTTCAACGCCGTGTTGTATCCATTCTCGAAAAGATTATTAAACATTAAGCGATCAGATGATTCATGAAAAGTTTTAAATCATTCAGATTTCTTTTCAACGAATATTTAATCAAAACTTTCCGGTCAGTAGATTTTACTGTTATTTTGTTATCTCGTCGGGGGATCTCGATTTTTTTCTCATGTTTCACTCAGTGGAAAATAATTCGATATCTTGGACTGTTTTTTGTAGACTGTCAGATAAAAACGTCGACAAAATAGCTGGGAACTCAGTTCAATGCAAGGACACTGTTTGGAGATCAAGCATTAGCATTTGGATATTTAAAAAAAAATGTATTTAAAAATAAACATGTACAACAGTTTAACCTTTTTCTCTCCAATAGGGTCGATCGTAATACAGGAACGTCTTAATGACTGTCCCCATGGGTATTCTTTGTAGTAGTTGATTGCGCAGAGTTGGCAGGGTCGGTGTAAAATTGATTTGGTTTTGAAGACTGACAGGAGACGCCATGATGACATATTGGGCCTGGAAAATACAAAAATCGTTTATAAAGACTTAATTTTTTCTCTCAAAAAAGAAACAGATATTGCAAAGTAACAAATATTGAACAACTCTCTCTCTCTCTCTCTCTCGCTCCCTACATATATATATATATATATATATATATATATATATATATATAACGAAGCCGCTCTCTCTTTAATAATCATTTGAGAGAAACCTTTTTACCATCCATCAGTATGGTTGATGCTAACTTCCAGAAGAGTGACTCATTGCATCTTCTTGGGCCAAATATTTTCAGATGATATGGAAAAAGTATATTGAATCAATTGCTAATGCTGCAGTTAAGAAAATCGGTTCAATGTGTCATGCTAGGCAGTATTTTTTTCACCAGAATCTCTCACATATTTATAAATTTACCATTTGTCTTTGCTTTGAATATTGCTGCCACGTCTGGTTTGGTACTCCTGCTAAACATTTAGAAATTCTTAATAAATTCAAATAAGAATCTGCAGTGTTATTGGTGCTAACCTGGCATCTCGGCTTCAGTCCCTTTTCCCACCACCGTAGCGTAACTTCCCTGTGCCTTTTCTATAAATACTTTTATGATAATTGCTCTGATGAACTTTCCGCTATGGTACTTAGACTTTATGAATTTAAGTTTATTACGAGATCAGCGGCAAGGTCTCATCGTTTTACATTTGATATAGCTCGATGTAACCATAAGTCCTTTGCTAACAGTTTCTTCTATCGCACCTATCACTTGTGAAACTCTCTTCCATTTTCTCGTCCTGGGTATGACGATTAACTACATCCGCGTCCTGGGTAAGACGATAAACTACGTCCAACAACAAGGCCTCTGATCAGGAGGTTTTGAGGAGCGTGGAACCACCTCTTAATTGTTGGTGTTCCCAGGTCAAACCTGACCCGGGGTGGTAGCACCTGTTAGGGTCACAGCTGTGGGCAAATAGTTAACCCCTAAACTGGCGTAAAAACACTATGAAAGTGTAAAAAACGGTTTTAATACCAGAAATATTTTGTAAAAAACATTATTAACAGCAATAAATTTTTGACTATGCCTTGGAATAGTGATTTCCACTGTGATGACTGATGCACTGTATCAAGACAGAAGTTGGGGTCATCTTTAGTTTAATCTTCGAATTCCCTTTAAATTGTAGGACTGTCAACGCAATTTGACAGACAAAACAGTAGACACGCCACTAGAAAATTTGTACCATGAATACTAAGAAACTAATACTATGGACAGTTTGATAACACTTTGGTTGGAAGGTTTAAGAAACATGTTGTCTCAGAGAGACAATTTTCGATTTTCTGACACAATTTTGACAAAACAGACAATTAGCTGTGTTTTCTTTTCTGTCATATATTGAAAATCTATTATTGACTTACGATAAAGACATATTCTTCCCAAAGTATAGCAAGAAAGTATTAATGATTCCTGGTTAATAGTTTTTCAATACTGCGAAAAAGAGATTTTCTGAAGTGCTACGTGGTTGACTGCATGTTTTCAATTGTCATCAGTGGTTTCTGTACAAGTCCAGTTAACGTATACAGATTTTCAATGTCTTTGGGGCTTCCTCCACTTGTTAAATTGACACAGGATAATCTCTCTATTTTAACCTTGTGAAATACTGAGGTTAGTAAATATAAAACCCAATAATTGACTTTTCGTAGACTTTTCTCCACACGTCCTATCAAGGAGGTCAAGAATACGCCAACTGTATAGCCGTTGCAAAGGGGTAAATCCCCCAGAAAAAGTTCAACCAGTTTATTTTTGACTCTCTAAATTTATGTCTACCTATCTATTGTAAAACAGCATTAAATAACCTGAAAAATGTTGATACAAGGTAAAACAAAACCCAAACTGTTATATGAACACTAATGGTTACGTCAAAATCCTCATAAATACGTTGGACACTATTGTAAGTGGGGCAATATGCACTCTAAGTAGTCCACCACTAGCAGTGGTTTACCTACTTCACGCCGCTGGCGAGTATTGTATTTTTTTATGTTATAAAGATTACCATTTCATTTTCAACCTCTGTTTTGGTAATGCCTCATTCAGTAACCTTTTCTAGGTCACAATACAAACATTTCTCGAGTCTCAATTTGATACTTTATAGAATACTAGCAAGATGAACACGAAATTATACTAATGCTCAACAACCGAACTTCGAAACTGATTCGTCTTTCTATGCTGTATAATTCCTAATGATTTCATTCAGTAGTGATATTTGAATTGTCAATTGGTAAATATATCACCAAGGTTATACAAGCTGGTGTTTGAATTGGAGCTTACAAATATTTTATACAATAAAAGACTTACTTTGAATTCTCGCCCATTGATATCTTTAACAATTACTTCTCTTTCATTTTGTGTAATTTTGCAGACTGGGTGTTCCAATAAGACTCTGTCTGAAATGAAGTAAAAATCAAGTTCAGATTATTATAACGAACATAATACAAATATGGGCACTTAATTATAAAAGAAAATTAAATATACTTAATATACTCCCCACCCTCTAAATGACTCTTTGAACATCGTTCTCATCCAAGATGTGACAGTTAAATAGCCTTACCCGTAAAGCCACCTAAAAGAGAGAAATAATTTATTTTATTAACAAAGATATTATATAAATTTTTAATACATTATGTCCAAATTTGTCTTGACATTTTTCAAACATGTCCGTTGGGTTTTTTACTTACCCGCTCCAATTCAGTGTTCTATATTTTAAATTTCTGTTCTGCTGTAATCAATGAATAACCGGCAACCGTCCTGGGTAGGACGATAAACTACATCCGCGTCCTGGGTAGGACGATAAACTACATCCGCGTCCTGGTTATGACGGTAAACTACATCCGCGTCCTGGTTATGACGGTAAACTACATCCGCATCCTGGGTAGGACGATAAACTACATCCGCGTCCTGGGTAGGACGATAAACTACATCCGCGTCCTGGGTAGGACGATAAACTATGCCCAACAGCAAGGCCTCTGATCCAGGAGCTTTCGAGGAGCGTGGAACCACCTCTTAATTGCTGGTGTCCCCGGGTCCACCTTGACCAAGGGTGGTAGCACCTGTTAGGGTCCTAACTGTGGGTAAATAGTTAACCCCCAAACTGGGTTCAAAACACTATGAAATGAAAAAATAGGGTTTAATAATAGAAATACTTTGTAAAACAATTCATTATCAGCAATACATTTTTGAAGAAAAAGTATTACCAGAAATATATTTAGGAAGTAAAAAAATATTACCAGAAATAAAACTTTTGTTAGCATTAAATAACCCATTTAGATTGATATGCTGTAAAACAAACCAAACTAAACCAAATAATCGGCAACAAATCCTATAGAATCGGAGAAAATATGACAGCTCGGAACGTGTTGTCACCGTGACTTATTCGCCATCCTGTTATTTAGGGCAAACATTTTCTTCACTAGATAAGGTAAGTCGGTCCAATATTGAATTATCAGTGGTTAATGTTGAATCTCCAATGTAGTTATGTTTCCAAAAGTTCTTACTGGAGCAAATCTCTTTGAAAGTCACTGACCCAATATGGCGCTCGAGAGTTCGAAAATCACGTGACTAGGATAACCGGATGTGACGTGTTTTCAGAACAAGGTTTGAAATTCCAAAATATAGAAAAAGGCAAGAGGAAATGTGTTTTTGGAAACTGACAAAAAATAGTTTGTTTTTTTTCTTCTTTTTTTGTGAAACTGAAAATGAACAGTAATGGTAATATTAGCCGATTCTTTATATCGAAATATTCGGCATTAATTGACCAAAAAGCCAATGAGACTGTCGAGTGAAATTCATAAAAATCTATTTAAAGAGTTTTTCAGGTTTCCCAAGTCTACTGTTATCGCTCTTTCCAGTACTGATGGAGGTTTCCTTCTTAACCTTTTGTTCGAAGTTGTGTGGAACGTCAACATCTTCATTGTCATTATTTTCTTTTCGAGTTACGAGTTCTCTCCATTTTAGTTGTTGTTGCTGTTAAAAATCCTCAAGGTTTCTGCTATTTGGTATAGTTGTTTTTTTTGTGATTATGTAGCGCCAGTCAACGAGATTCGAAGAAGGATTGTCGTCTGTAATACCTAGAGGTTTCATTCGTTTGAAGTCATGGTTAGTCATTTATCTAAGAAATCTGTTGTATTCAGTAGACAGTTTCTATTCATGATCCCCATATGAAAAGTCACGATCTGACGAAGCTATTTAAGAAGCACAACAGCTTTTGTTTTGTAGCAATTTGCGATATTATGCGAAACTACCTCTAGCGCAGCGTATTCTATATTCAATTTCCTTATCTCCTATCTTGAATTTTTATGATAAATTCGGGTTAAATTTAGGGAGCTATTCAATATTCCGATCATAGTGATATAATAAAACACTGAAAAAGAATTAGGTAACTTTTACAATATATTAGAGACATAAATCTCGAAGCAAGTTTAAAGAAATTATGGGATACCTAGGCGCAAAAATTATGGGATACAGAGGCGCAAATATTGCTAAGGAATAGTGTGAAATGCTTGATAAATATGAATTTGGATCGCGGAGAAAATGGTTTGAATGGTGCACAATGGCCACAACTTAGTTCGAAAAATAGCCCTTACGTGTGTAAATGTGGAAAAGGGTACACCAAGAACCAGACAAACTACATAAATCATTTAGAAACACAATTTTACACTCAAAAAATATTCAGGCGCTGACTGAGGGAGTGATCGCCTCCCAATTACATGGAAACTAAGGATGAGACTACAACAATTTCAGAAGCTCAAAGCAACACCTTGGAGCTGTTTAAAGGAAGTTATCCCTATGAAAGTGAATTACAAGTGAAATTCTAGAACTATTAAAGGAGAGGCAGTAAATACACCGAAGAAATGACGCTGAATACATAAAAGTAAACAAATATAAGTGCAAACAAACAAAACAGTATTGGATAAATAGAAATTTCACAGAGTCTGTTACCAGCTGCGTCATTGTTCTTCAAAATAAATAGCAAGACAAAAAAAGATTCTCTATAACGTGATATATAAAATACAAAGAACAAACATAATGAACAAAAAATGTTGCAACAGAGTAATGTGTACATCAGAAAAACTCTTTCAAGTTAACAGAGGAGAGAAAGCTACAATACAATAAAAATTTGGAAGTACTCGTAATACTAAAATATTAAGTAAGAATATAAGTCGTCAGAGGAAAAGCCATTGAAATTTTAGCACTCTCATATGACCTTGGAATTGGGAAGGTTACTTAAAATGATAAATGAAATATACGAAAATGTTTCAATAGCGGAGTATCTAAATAAATAAGTTTTCATAAGGTTGACAAAGAAGCCATATATAAATGAATGAGTTCATCGAACGATCAGCTTCATGAAAAACATAACAAAATGAGATTCTAATGAATAGAGCAAGTAGTAGAAATAGACCAGGAATGGGAGAAGAACAATGCACTGGAACAAGAAATAAAATTATCATTAGTAAAGTACAACAGAAAGAACTCCTTGGATTTTTAGGAAAGCTTGATCTACATATAAAGGATATCTGAATAATCCGCTGTCTGTATTGGGAACGAACAGCTTGTATGCAAGTAGACGACGAAGTGAACATATCAAACAGAAAAAAAGACCGAGATAATGATGTGTTTTCTCGCCGGAATTACTTAAATTTTATAGCTGTTGATAATGTTGTGTTGTTTTCTGAAAAGCATATTTAGCTATTGTGATGTGTTTTTGTCCATCTTTATCGTCTTCTGAGAAAAGGACTGCAGTAAATGCTGGAAAATATCGTCACAAATGAAGAAGAGACTTGAAACGATTGAGGTGTGGTTTTCACAACGAATGTCGAGAATGCTGTGTTTTAAGAAGAATAGGAAATACAAAGAAACTGTTGTTCACAATCAGGAAGACAACTGAGATTCTTAAGACGCATAACAAAGACGACGTTTGAAAGAAGAATGCACAGGTTGTGTCGCTGGTAAGAAAATCTGTGAAAAGCGATGGATTAACCATTTTTAACAAAAAAACAGACAAACTACATAACAAATGATTTAGAAACACAATTTTACACTCAAAAAATATCCAGGAGCTGACTGAGGAAGTGATTACCTCCCAATTACATGGAAACAAAGAATGAGACTACAACAATTTAAGAAGCTCAAAGAAACGCCTTGGAGAGCTTTAAAGGAAGTTATCCCTATGAAAAGTGAATTAGAAGTGAAATGCAAAAACTATTAAAGGAGAGGCAGTAAATACATCGAAGAAATGACGCTGAATACATAAAAGTAAACAAATCTAAGCGCGAACAAGCAAAACAGTATTGGATAAATAGAAATTTCACACTTTCATACTTCTTCCTTTACGAATCTGTCTCCCCATCAGGTTCATAAAGGGGCAAGTATTTCTGAATGAAGCAAAAAGAAAACCAAAAACCAGACACCAAAGTAAAGTTTTAACTCAGTGTCATACAAGAACATTAAAGGAGCCAGGTACATCAAAAGGTTGATCTGGGAGATGACCTCTTAACCACCTGATTCACACCTCGCACGATGTGTGTAGCTACCCTCAACATATAAACGTAGTCGACTCGGATGTGCTTAAAACGTGCATCTGGGTGACAGAAAAATAATATAAGCGCACAAGTCACGACGGAAAAGACAGCGTCACTCAAACTCTTGCGAGAAGATCCACGTTCGGGGAAAGTCCCCCAAAGTCACACACCCACTTGCTGATATTAATTGACGAAGTTTGGAGGTGAATAAACATTAATTTTGCGTATCAGAGACTTACTCTCGTGCTTTTATTAGTCTTTAAAGCGATAATGTTACACAAGAAAGTTTTCAGTTTTGCAATCTACGGAAAAATATTGCTTCAAAACTATATCTGGTTACTTTTGTAAAATGAGCCTATTGAGAAATTCCAACAAGCTAATCAAGGGACATTAAAGAGATTTTTGGAAAAAAAACAGATAGATAAGGCTTCAGTTATTCAATTCAAAACAAATTTCATATAGTTAATGCCAAATTGCGAATTTCGTGTAGATGAAACCAAATATAGCATTTCTCTTCTGAAGCCTTTGTATGACACGAATACTGGTAGAATCGATATAAAAAGCAATAATTGAAACACATTTTGTTGGTCATAATGTTTTCCTAATATGTTTGAGCTTTCATTCGTATGCTAATCGACTGTCTTATCGATTATGACATTTCCCCAAACTTTATACAGCTGTTGACATATAAATATTTCTATTACACTGTTACTTTTTAATACTTTTCCGATTGATTTCAAATTTTGTACGTTTACACTGATTATAATGCAAAACAACACTTTTGCAATTCACTCAATCATAATAACCTCATCTATCAAGTTTCCATTGAGAAGCAAAATATAAACAAAATTGTGTGTTCAGAATTA